GGTTTCAAAAAACTATCAACAGTTCCTAGGCTTCTGCTCTCTGAATACTTCAATAAAACAAATTTAGCTTATAAATATCCTTGGACTAATCTACAACTAGCGGAAACAGAGTACTGAAGAATAGTCGTTGAAACTTATCAACCGTTTCGCGGGCGCACATTTCGTTCTGTTTGATCTGCGGATTCGTGCTTGAGACCTGCAGTTCTATCCCAATCCCTCCCCAACAAATGCTGCGTGGTTGATCTATGTCTTGTGCTGTTTTTAAAAGAAGGCTATTCCTTTCTTTTTTGGCCAAAGGTCATTACTGAAATGGAAAATCAATTTTATGGACTACAGCCAAACAACTAAAAAAATTTTTTTTTGTTCGTTCAATCAACTTTTTCTACAGTTAATGCTAAAATTTGACAACGTAAAAAAGAAGAAAGCAGAATAAATTTATGGTAAAAATTTAGATGTTTTTTTTTATTATCCCAGTAATTTTGTTTAAAGTTTTATTTTTTTTTCCATTGTCTATATAATAACTTACACATCCATCAAGCAGACAGTTTTGTTATTTGCTAAACAAATAATATGGTCTTCAGTCGACACAGTTAACAAACGCTTTGAGACAATAAGAGAAAAAAGTAGGAAAGAAGAGTGGTTTTTTTTTAATGTTTAAAATGTATTGAAAAGAAATGATTTAAGCGTTTCTTTCTTTTGAAAAAATTTTACACAAAACGAAAACAGTTTAGACAATAGCCTTCTTCTTCTAAAAAGTTGGGTCAATTATTTTTGTCGTTTTTTTTTTTTTTTTTTTGAAGCATAATTATTGATTTGTAATCAAATGCATTAGTTAAAAGAAAAACGAAAAAAAAGAGGATTTTTTAGTATCAAAAAAGATGATTGTCAGAAATTTTTAGTTCCTCTGTAATTTGGCGATAAACAAATTTACTCCAATTTTTTTTTCTGCAGTTAATCAGTTGATTATTAAAAATTCTTTTTTTTATAAAGCTTAAGTCAAACAGGGGAGGAAAAAACTTGTGCCACTGGTTGTATAAAAAAAATAGTAGTTTATCAACTTTTTTTATTTTTTTCGTTCGCTGTGCATTAGCTGAAGGTAACTTCAGTACGGAACAGAAAAACAGATTTACGTTGGTTACGTCAAACATTTTTCATTTAGCACTGCGTTTTTGGATTATAAATGTAAAACAATATATAAATATATATATATATATATATATATATACATATATATATATATTTGCTTTTTTTGCCAAAACTTTTAAGACAATTAGTTTTATGTGCCAGCACAATAATACTGCATAAAACAAGTCATAGAGACTGGTAAAAAGAAAGGAAAAAAAACTGAATTACCAAACTGCGTTATTTTATGAGTACAGATTACTTAGGCTCTTTCAGGTTTTGTTGCTTTTATAAGCTATAATTTAGTACTGATCTAAGCTAGAAAAAAAAAATAGATTTGAAGAAACGGAATTAAAACCGAAGACAATCTCGGTTCAAAATTCTTCATTTTTTTCTGCAAAATCTATCTATTTTTCTTTTAAATGATGCTTCTTGCCCTTTTCTTTTATTGCTTATTAAGAAGAGATGACGACTGCTGCTGCTGATAGTATCCGATTACCAAATGATCCAAATAATAAACCTCCGGTCT